CGGGCGGGGCTGCGCGGGGTCCGGCTCGCTGGGCTGGGGCGAGCCTGCCGCCTCCTCCCGGCGGGAGCCGGGTTGCCGTGGGATCCGGCTGTAGGGACAGCTCTCGGGCGGGCGGGCTGGGGGAGGGAGACTGCCCGTCTTCTGTTTGCGGTGACACCGTCCTCGCCCTTCCTCCTCCGCCCTCCAGCCCCGGCCGGTCAACCCAGCGAGCTCCTGGGAGGGAGTCGGCGGGCCGGGAGCGGGGCGCCCCGGGCCATACGCGCTCTGCCCAGGGCCATACGCGTTCTGCCTGGAGGGAGCTAGATGGCGGTGGGGTGGAGAGGCAGACAGGGCTGGCGAACGCCACCTCGCAAGGTTGGGCTGGGGGAGTCAGGGTGTGTGTGGCCTGGAGCCTCCGGGCGCCCTGGACCTCCAGAAGGCTCTTGATGGTTGCACCAGCTGCTGGCTGTAAACAGGCTCACATGACCGGTTTCTCATGGAGCCTGCGGTGTGGGGAAGAGGGCTGGAAGGCTGGGCCCCAATCCGATGGAGTTGAACTCCTGGGACAGTTCCTAAGCCGCCTCCAGCTCTTAATCGATACTCTGCCTTTCCATCAAACAACTGACGTCTGTCGTCCCGGGCTGAAGTAGCATTTCTGTCCCAGCAGCATCAGGGGATTCTCAGGTCGAGGGTGGGAGGAGCCAAGAGGGCAAATATTAAGGGAACATGATCACGGCTCTTTGGTCTCTAGGGAGGAGTAATAAGCGGAAGATACAAACCCGAAAATGTAGGTCGATCGGATCTTAGCCCAAAAGTAGTCTTGTTCCTTTGGAATGCATTGCCATTTTAGTAGTGTGAGCTCTACACTGGGCAAAAGTCGACTTTTTCAGATGAGACACACATGAGAGTAGATGCTTTCTTGGTGCTAAAAGTCGTGTCCACGTTTCCTCCGAGTGCTGGGAAGTCTCTTTGCCTATCAAATATGAGGTACAGGATCTTCCACAGGGAGTGGCTGCCCACTGTTAGTTTACAAGTGTATTTCGTGGGGTACAGTGAATTAAGTCATAAGGCCGTCCATCCATAGCCTCCCATCTTGTGATTGTTTATGCTTAAGGCCTCATTAAAGGATGAACTATTTATTGTGTTAAGGATATAGGATTGTGGCCTAGTGGTAAGAAATTGTGCTGCAGTCTCAAAGGCACGCTGTTCAAATCTGCCAGCTCTTCTCCCCTGGAATGAACTGCCTCTGAAATTCCTCTGAAGGGTCAGCAATGGGCTGGTTCTGACTCTTATGACATGTAACAACAACAACATGAAGAATGTAGGATTAGTGTGGGTGATAAGGCGTTATCCAGGTTACCACCCTTAGTGATTTATAGCTTTCAGGTCTTATATAAAGGTTGATTTTTCTTGGAAAAGCAACATTTTGTTGCCTTGAGACACTTGCATTTAACCTAATCAGCTGCGATGACAACTTTCAGCCTGGAACCTCCTCCCACCGTTCACCAGTCTCATTTCCATGGTCTGGTGAGCCCTGAGCCATTTCACTGAAGTTATTTTCGTTTCCGTGAGACCTTCCAGTGAATTACAAAACCCCAAAACATAGACATAGGAGTGGGAGGATAGAAGGAAGGAGGGCAGAGATGGTGGAGTGGGCATTTGAAGCATTGTTAACCTCCACCTTTAATAACACTGGTCTTGTTCCTTGTTGTGTGCTGTTGAGTCAGAACTCCAGCAGTTTTCAGAGGCAGTAAATCCCCTGGGAGGAGATTGCCCATCCTTTTGAGAAGCTGGTGGATTTGAACTGCATGCCTTTGGGATTGCAGTAAAATATTAGTGTAATTGTGAGATTCGCAGCAATGGCTCCAGACTCAATATCAGCCATAATTTATGATCCACTCAGTTAGGTGACTTGGCAGAGTCAATGAAATACAAATAAACATCTTTCTGGTATTCTCTGCTTTCAGTCAAGATCCATTTCCTTGACACCATGGCCTCTTCTGTATATAATGTTATAATAATAAGTTATATAAGTATAACTTGTGATATTATTTTGTCTGATAATTTCCACATTTTGCTGGATCTCCTTTTTTGGAATAGGAACAAACAGGGATTTCTTCCAGTCATTAGGCCAGGTAGCTCTCTTCCAAATATCTTGGCTGCATCTCTTTGTTGAAATAGGTTAATTAGTATTCTGTCAATTTCTGGGACTCCCTCCCCCATCTCATCACTGAAACTTGAATGTCTTCCTTTATTATCATTGGCTCTTCATCATATGCTACTTTCTGAAATGATTCAGTGGCAACCAATTCTTTTTGGAACAATGACTATGTGTATTCATTCCATCTTTTGTTCCTGTATTATTCAAGATTTTTGCATATAGGATAATGTGTAAATGATTATTACCAGTATGATAGGATTGGTTGTTTTTCCCGTACCATCAAGTTTAAATTGAGCAAGTTTCGTGGAGGAGAGGGAAATTTCAGTATCAGCAAGGAAGCAGCAGCAGAGAATGCCGTGTGCATCCTTCGGGGCTAGAAATTCCTATAGTAGTTAGAGTAGGACCTACGTGAGGGCAGCAGCAACCTTGGTGAAGAACCAGAGGCCAACATGAGACAGCTGATTTGGGACTGCTTCTCCACAGCGCCAGAGCCAAGGCGTTTGTCCAAGCTTGCTGGCGGACTAGATGGAAGAACCATAACTGACAGGACTGAGAATTCCTTGTAACAGTGACCTGAGCCTGTGAGGCTGAAGGTCAAAGGACCTGCTTGAGAAACTGTCTGACTGAAGAATTAATTGTATCCTGTTGCTAGTTACATCGTAACATCAAGAAAACAAAAATCTTCACCACTAGACGAACAGGCAACATGATAAATGGAGGAAAGTTTGAAGATGTTAACAATTTCATTTTATTTGAATTCAAGTTCAACACCCATGGTAGTCAAGAAATTAAAAACCTGATTCATTGAGGAAATAATACTGTCAAGGACCTCTCAAATGCAAGGATGTCAATTTCAAAACTGAGGTGCGCCTGATCCAAGCCATGGTCTTTTCAGTTACTTTCTATGCACCTGAATGTTGGACAGTGTATAAGGAAGACAAAAGAAGGATGAATTCCTTTGAGTTGTGATGTTGGCAAAATGTGTCAAAACCCCCAAACAAATCTGTCTTGGAGAAAGTGCAATCAAAGTGCTCTTTAGAAGCAAGGATGGTGTGAAACTTCATCTTCCATACTTTGGGCATATTGTCAAGAGGGGCCAGTCTTTGGAAAAAGGCATCATTCTGGGAAAGGTGGAGGATCAGAGAAAGTGAGGGAGACCCTCAACAAGATGGGTCGACACAGTGACTGTGACAGTGGGCTTGAGCCTGATGGAGATTGTGGCAATGGTGCAGCATTGGGCAGGGCTCCAGTCTGTTGTGCATAGAGTTGCTGTGAATCATAGTCAACTTGACAGGACCACAGTATAACTTCCCTAATAAATCCCATAGCCATGAGTATGGTTCTGTGAGATCTGTGTGGCCATTGGAGTGGTTTTCAGACTCAGTAGTACTACTATTGGCATTGGAATTAGAAGATATAGCTGGATGAGCATGGAGACCATGTCTGACAATTATGGAAATTGGTTTGGTGGTTTTTGTATTGTAATTTGTATGCAAAGTGGATGTTGCTGGTGGAGACTGCTTCCTTTTGTGGAGTTAAGAGGTCAGATGTGGCTGTCCCCGTACCAACCGCCCCCACTCTTTTTTATTCTTATATTCTTGGAGATTGAGAGAATTAAGAAACCGCCAACTATTTTCCAAGTTGCTTTCTTTTACCCAAACAAGATACAAGTTAAACTAACTTCTTTTTGTCTTTAGTTTTTATTCTTTTTAAATTTTTTTTTTAGTTAAACTTCTAAAGCATTTCTGAAATTCTCAAAACAAAGAGATTGCAAAATGTAAAGCTTTCAAATTTACAAGGGGTGGTTATGCTATAATAAATGTTGTAGAAGTGAGGTCTCATTCATCTTAATGTTATCCCATCGTAGGTAGAGATAGAAAAGAGAACAAATAATTTATAACCTAATGCCTGTGCTTTTGGCTTAAATTGTTCATGGACATTTGTCCGCACCATTCACATTTTTTTTCTCTCTCATAGACTTTTACATTAAACTCCAAGTTTTGAAAAGGTGAAGCCTTTTTAACTTTGAAAAAACCAGAATAGCTATCTATCTCATCCCCTCATAGCCCAGTGGCAGTTCTGATGGCTTAGTGGTAAGGAGCTTCAAGGATAACCTAAAGGTCAGCAGTTCAAATCCACAGGCTGCTTTGTGGGAAAAATCTCCTCCCGTGTGATTTACAGCCTTTGAAAATCTGCTTGAGGGTCAGCCATGGGATGGTTCTAACTCGATGGCACACAGCAACAGTAGCCCAGTAAACTGAGTAAATTGAGTGATTTGCTACTACTGTTCTGTTTTAAACAGGATTTAAGACATTATCGTGCTGCTCTGGATTTTATTTTGTGACCTTAGAGTATCTGGAGAACTTCGCTCTACTGCCCCTGCATTGATTTATTCTTTGAGGCTCTTAAGTTTCTTTCCCTATAATAAAAAACTTTCATTTTTATCTCTGAGGCTGCCTGTACTATAGCTCTCAAATTCCATGCAAATATGCCATTAAACTTTTTTATCATGGTAAAAATACACCTATCAAAACCATTTCTGTGTCCAATTCTGTGGTATTGAGTTGTGTAGCAATTCCCGCAGACTTTTTCTAAATGGTGCCACCACCGTTAACAAAAACTTGACGGCCCTCAAATAGAACTTCCCCCTTCCTCCGCTTCTTCTCACCCACTGCTGACTT